TGCAAAAAGAGTGTGTTGCTGCTGCGCCGTAGCACCTTTGGGCGCAAGGCGAGCCCAAGGCCCTGAAACAACATGTTGATGAGAATCACTAGTTGTGCCTTAATGGAGGGGACAACACTGTAGGAACAAAGAACCAATAAGAAGAGGACGGGACGCGCCCCACAATCGTATCACATTGCTGGACAAGCGTATGCAGAACAACATACCACGCAAAATTCCGTATGTAATGCGGGCCGTGTTTCAATTACGTTCTCGGTTAAGGAGTTCGATAACACTCCTGCTGCACAGCCTCGCGACGCAAGACAATCCATATATTGCATAGGCAAATGCAGCAATCCGAAGGATCGCACCGTTGACACTGCTGGTCTCCTGCAAGCAGATAGGCAAGACCCGCGCCAAGACGGCGCATCGGCAGAACATAGCACGCTGAAGACATACCTGCAACAAAAAACAAACATAGATGCGCGCAGGCGCCAAACCAATACAATGCCTCGGGGAGCAAGCGCAAAATCGTTCGTTTCGGGGCCTCGCGAGGGAGAGCTGCATCCCCACCCAGGGATACGGAAGGGGGGAGCAGGGAGGGAGGGAGGAGACAGACGCGTGGGTGGGGGAAGGGGGACGCTATCGGTCGTATTCTTCTACGGCCTTGCGCCACTCCCTCGGGGCTCCTTGCAAAACAGATCGGAAGCTACCTGGCTCATTTCGCGCCGCCCGTAAGGCCCTCACTTATACGTTGTCCACTGCAGGCGCGGGCGTCCCCTGGCGCGAGCACTGGCCCAATCTCTTAGCAGCCTGTCGGCTGCCACTCCTGTCTCGAAGAACATGCTGCTTGGAAGGCTGTCTGGACAGGCTGCTGCAAATTCGCCATAAAGTTGAAGGTGACGTCGTAATGGAAGTGCAGGTCATGGTTTGGCGCCTGCTGCTGGCCTCACTGTCGCATTCCTTACTCGCGAGAAATACGCAGGCGGAGTGTTGCGAATACGTCGGAAGCACATCGCTTGAAAACTATCATATATGCTCCAGCCTGCTTTCAGTAATATACAGCCTTCCAGCCCATATGCAACAATTTTGATAGCATTTCGACTTCCAACACCTTGGTTGTGCGTTGCTTGATCATGTTGGCGTGATTCGATACTGTGCAAATAATTTCAGATGCCCCTCTTGCTTCCCACGCCTTCGTGTTACCTCAGGTCTCGGAGTCCCGTCATCACTCGACAATCCTCCAAGATACACTGCGTGGCCCTTGCACGCCATCGGCCTGCCATGCTGCAACATTATATCTTCTGAACGGCTTCTCAAACATATTGTTTTCGACGCGCTGGGTTCCAGACCATATGCTCCCTCGGTTTGTACTATGCACTCCTGCACACCACTCTCAAAACAAACCTTAGACATCCCGCTGTTGAAGAGATACCGCTGCAAAGAATCAGGGCATCTGCGCGCCACTGTCATTGCAGAGCCCACTTCGGCATTGCAGAGACAAGAGAAACCCAGGCACTGCGTTCAAACTCTAGAGAACCCAGCTAAAGTCGTAATCCATGTCCCGACTCGGATTTCAAAAGCGGCTGCTGGAAGCACGGAACTCGAAGAGCAGCGTCGACGTGGACGGTGTCAACCACATCCAATCAATCCATCTGAACCACCCTTTCAGACCTCCGCCAAACATACCACTTCAAACCAAATGTGCACGCCAGAGGATCTTGAGCAACTCCGGCAGGCCGTTGAACTGAGGAAAGCGAGATTCTGAGCTAGCGTAGCCTACGTTCGCCGCAAGTAGGGTACAAGCCTTGCCGACGAAGTTGCCAGACCCGCGAAGCCACGGAGGCTTCGTCCTGGCATCCGCGCCGACGTTCGTCAAGACAGAACATCGAGGTGAACGGTGTTTCCAAAACATCTTGGCTCTCGTAGGCCCGTGTCGGGTCCTGTAAAACATCATGAGACAGCCCGTGAGGAAACGCTGGTGCTGGGGTATGGTCGAGACGATAAGAGCTCAAGTCACGGAAAACAGTGGCGTCGGAGGTATTCGGACGTCTGGGCAGGGGAGCGGAGGGGAGGTGGAGGTGCGAAAGACGGGAGGATTGGGGGAGGAGAGAAAGGGGGGAAACGGGGAGCGGAAAGGAAGAAGGAGTGGTGGTAGTGGTGGCCTCTGCATGAAAAAGGAACCAGCTGGAGAGCAAAGCTTAACCCACAACGATATCAACGACGACGCCAGCGATTGGAAGATGGAGGAAGAGGTGAGGGGAGATGGGAAGAACTCTCATCACCATTCCCCTCTTCCCGTCCTCCCCGGTACGTCTCCTCGTCATCGCTCATCTCCTCCGCCTCCCCACGCTGTACGTACAACTGTCACGTAGATTAATGCGTGGCCGTGAGTGCACTCCGACGGCGCAGACGCAAGCATGTACAGGTAATCATGCGCGCGGGGTCAAAGCAATAATATGACAACACCCATTTGCAACTCACACTGACTTGAGAACGATTCAGACGCATATTTGAGACGCCTTCGGCAACATACAAACTCTAATGATTAGATGTTTGAATGTACATTGTAGCGAATGATACATGCGCCACTCGCACTTCAACCGGATTCTGCCCATGAACAATCCATGGCATTCTACAATCACGCAATGGTCGAGCCGTCCTCAACCTCCTCTTTGGGAGAGGAAGCGTTGGACTCGTTGGACGCGTTATCCTTCGGCGTCTCCTCCGTGGAATCCTCCTATGGGGCGCTCTTTCTTTGAAGCAGCAGGCCTTGACATGCTCGTAGCAGTGTGGCATTAGTCGCCTCCACTGCTCTAGCCCATGGTGGTCAAGCGTGATTCCACCCGACAAATGCTGCACGCAGGTGCAACGAATCGAGACACCTAGTTGCAACAACTGATACGTGCACTGGTTCCTCTGTGCGAACGTCTGGCCTTTGACCTCTGCTCACGACAAGGTCACACGTCAACAGGTCCTCTGCAGAGCGGACATGGTCCGCTACACACCATTTGTCTGAGCAGACAGAATCTCGAGTAGGGGATCGACTACATAATTGAGTTACCCTCGGCTTATGTGCTGCCGAATCTACGAAAAGCACGTAGCATGTTCGGAGATTCGGCACAGATTCTACGCATGTGTCGTAGGTTCGGCGAAACACAACGTTTGAATGCATCGATGCCGTAGACGATCCCCTACTCGAATATTGTGTGCGGTAAGAATGAATTCAAGCGGAGGTTCCCTAGGGAAGGGTCGGAAAATAGGCAACAACTCCCGCATCAATGATCCCTCATGTGACGGCGCACTGGCTCAGACTACGAATGAACTTGAGGCACTCAGGACACTGAGAAAAAACCATGCATGCACCGAAGACGCTCTCCGAGGCCACCACAAGCCTCCAAGAGAACCCACTGGCTTACACATGACAGTCCAACATAAATGCTGAACCCAGTGCCAGCTCCCACGTACAACAACCATTGACACAATGATAACCCAAGACGGCTCTAAGACGGCGTGGACCACCCAATCCCCAGAAGCTTCAAAACATAGCAAAACGCGACGTAGTCGCAATCTTGAGGCCGCTACACGTCGTAACATTCGACGCATCCGCGTTCTGGAAGCCACAACCCCGTATAGAATATTGCCCAAGGTGGCTCCAAGACTGCCCAACTTGGTCTCAAGACAGCTCAAGGTGACCCCTGGACGGCCCAAGACGGCCTCACGACGGCCCCAAGAGACCCAGAAGGTCATCAGAGCCCTAGAGAGCCCCAGGACGGCCGCAGAGGGCTCCAAAACGGCCCTCGAAGCTTGTGGGGGCCCAGGACAGCCCCAAGACGGCCCGAATGAGGTCCGCGAGGGCTCCTCGACCGTCTTCGTCCGCCCCGAACGGCCGAGGCGTCACATATGACGGCTTCGGCCGCGTCAAGGGTGCAACAAGAACCACTCAGCTTGAATATCGGTGCTTGCGGTGGGCTGCTCTATCTTGGTCCACGGTGACCCAGGGGCGAAATCAAGAGGGCGACTAGACGGCGCAAACAAGCCCAAGGCAGGACATTTCTATAAGAAAGCATACAACGGTCCAACACTAGCCCAAGGAGCAAATATGCTGAACATATTCAGAATCCGGAAGAGGGCAGCAAGAGAACCGCCATCCCCAACAAACCTGAAAGGACATCATCCGATCTGGACTGTCATTAAATTCGCGCTTGGGAACATAGCATGCGCACGCGATTTACAAACGACACCTGTACGAACCAAACGGCTCGGTATCGATATGCCTGGCATAGTTGCAAATGGATGTGATAAGCCTAGCAGATATGTGAAATACTCTCGCTGGTCTTGCATCTGGGCTAACAGACGTTCAACAATGAATCGACCACAGAGTGATCGACATGCAACCCGCGCAAGCAGCGACACTGACTGCATCGATACCAATACTGGCCCAACGTCAGGCAAAAAACAAACCATGCGCGTCGGATGCAGTGCGACCACTGCTACGAGCATTGATTCAAACAGATGGGATCCTTAGATTCATCTGCGGCAGGCGCCTCGTCAGTTGTCGTCGTATCTTCTTTCGGTGTCTCCTCCTCTGACGCATTCGCGTCACCTGTGGCATCGGACTTAGAAGCGTTGGAAGCGTTCGTGGCGTTGCTAATGTTCTTCGCCTGACAAGCGTGTCACTTGCAACTGCGTACGGCCCGTCCCCTCACACGCCACAGCAATGAGAGATCGCAATGCAACAAGTGTCTGAGGAGCAAACAATCGCCATCCTAGCAGTAAAATTTGAACCCACCAAACAACACTGGCCTGAATTCAAACGCACGGACGCAGTGCCCCGAACACCGCATATTTACATATGCTACGTGCACTGATCCATGTTGCGCGACATGCGCGCTCATGAAGAATGCTATTCACTCGACAGGCTCGGAATTATGTTCGAACGTTGTGCCGATATGCGGCGGTAGCCTGCGAACCCAAATCCCCTTCAGACGGCAAGTGAAGAGTATCGTGCAAATCACTGTTCAGAGTGCGCGTCCGATCGCGAATACGCAACGTAAAACTCTGCAAACGGGCGATGGAGAGAATCGGCATACATCAGCAATTGTAGAAGCCTTGGGCACGGTGACGTTGACCCAATAATTCTCCTGCGCGTTGGATGAATGAATTCGAGGAAGCTTGCCAATCTGCAATCGGTACCCGTTAATACAGCATCCAAGGCGAGCCCGAGGCGAGCCCAACGAATCGAGAGTCGCGCGGGTACGCGTGGTCTGGCAAAGCTTGCGCAATGAACCCACAAGTACGTGGACTTCGAATTGCAATCAGGGCAGGCTGTTGCGCCAATGAGCTAGGTCCAAGGACTGCAAAGGAGAAAGAAGCACTCACTGACTTGTCAAACATTGGGTGGACTGCGCCAAAAAACACCAAACACCAACACATGTGGCACGTGGCATGTCTGCATGAATGCTCGCAGCTGCGGCCTGGCATATGCAAATGTGTTGTGTTCAAATGGTGCTATGGTGAATCAACATGGATTTAACGAAATCGTTCCACATAGGTATGTATACATACCTGTACTTCGATACGCACAAGCGACCACAGCTCCGCTTCTGCGCCATCGGCCAGCCTTCAGGCTGGGAGCGCGTGGCGTTCGGTATACGTATGCTGTGATGCTCTAGCACTTCGTGAAGGACTGTGTGATTGCAATGGCTCGCGCCTGCCGAACCCTGTGTAAGTACCTGGCTCGGGCCAGTCGCCGTAAATCGAAAGCTAGGTAACCGGGACTGCGAGCGTCGCGCCCCGCGGTTATCTCTTCGCGCCGTCGCGCCGCACTCTCTGCCGAAGAGGTCCCTCTCGGGCCCAGGCCGCAATGCGAAAAGGCCTTCTCGCACCAGAGGGTGCCCAGGAGAGGCGCTTCCTTTGAAGACACCCCCCCTCCCCGCGGCCACCTGGCCCACCAACCTCCCCCGCAAGGGGGGGCTGCGTACATCCGCCACCCTGCGGCCCCAAGGCTCCGCCAAGTCTGATTCAGTCCAAGACGGCCCAAGGATATTGATGGTCACCTGGCTTCCCCGCGACCCCTCCCCTCCCGAAGGCTGCTTATGCTTGGCACCACCGAGGGGGCGACATCTAGTCCCACGGTCTAGCTTGGAGCTACGTTGGATGGCGGTCCCCTGTATCTCCCAAGATCGCAGGACAAGATGCTTGGCAAACCCCAGGGGATGGAGGTGACCGCTAGCCCCCCCAGAGCACAAGAAACAAAATGCAGCTGTGGATTCGGCGGCAGCGCGGGGGTTGAGTTGGAACTGGTGGGGACGGCTCTCAGCTGGCCCCAAATCAATGCGTGAACGTGCGGACAGTTGTGCATTTCGCCGGGCGGACACACGAGACGAGTGGGGAAAGGGTCGCAAAAAAGCACATATGATGTACCAAAGACGCAGAACCAACAGACCTACAGTCGGGCTGCTGGAGCAAAGAACCATACATGAGGAGCGACGCCCCTTTCTGGCCCTAACAGCGCCTGCGCGCACGAGGAGGGTGAGACGAGCAACCATGGAAGGACCCAGGGAACATCGAGCCCCCTCCGAACCCACACTGTTCCTGATGTCGACGTCTTCGCTGCACTTCCGACTGTTGCTACCATGCCAACCGGCACACGGGGCTCGCCCCGCCAGGCCTCCGGGCGGTCTTCGGGGTGCCCGGGACGGGGCCGCGGGGGGGTCGAGGATGCCATCCGCCCCCCGAAGCGACGGCCCCGAGACAACCCGGGGCCCCCAGGACAGCTCGGCGACGGCCTCTGCGACAAGCCAAGGGCGGCTCCAACAAGGCCTGCAGATCCCCCAGGCGGCCTCAAGACCCCCCCCCAGACGACCCCAAGAGTCCTCGAAGGTCCTCAAGAGGCCCTCGATGGGCCCATCCGAAAAAGCTCCGACTACAGACCTCGAGGGGAATCGGCAGCAACATGCGATCCCACCGCTGCTCCACGCTGCAATGTTGCCACGCATGCGACTTCCTCGAGCTCAGTGACGGAAACTCTCGGCACATGCACACTGCGAACCACTCATTCTCATTCTCATGTGTGTGCAAAGCGTGGAACATGACGAGTCAGAGCATGCTCAGCGCCGTTACGCATCCTCTACTGTTGCCGTAGGGGTCTTGACCTGTCAATTTTCGCAGACAAGGTAGGGAGCTCGTTGGAGCAAACGACGACGACGACGTTCGACAGTGCCAGAAAGGATGCTGCATTCGCGCCCGATCGCACACTTCGGATACATACGACATCAGGGATACATGCGAAATGATGTTTGCGTTGGTGGCTTCGATGTGAGAGGCCTACCGGACTTGCCCGCTTCGAAAGGTCGGCATTCATCAAAAATGCACTGAGTACACGTCGGAGGCTTCGGCGGCGTACGAGTGCAATGAAGACCGAACTGTGGGACACATACCACTGGCACTCTGAGCGCGAGTGGATTCGAATGCCGAACTCTTCCAAACCCAACTCCTCCTGGCCCTTGGAGGTTTCGAGGGGTGGGCGGCAGTTGGAGCCTCCAAGGGTTCTCCAGGCGGTAGGCGGCCCCGCAGATTGCCCCAGATCGCCTAGCGCATGGCTCAAATTGGAACAAACGGCCTCCAATATTGCCGCCGAAAGCCCTGCGAGGGCGCCAATAGTTCCCAGAAGACACTCCTTGTGCCGAGAGGCTATTCATTGAGTTACTGTAACTTGTCCTGGGTCGTGGGTGGCGGGGTCGGGACGCAATTCGAAGTTCTCCATTGGCGGCGAGCGAGGGGGGGAAGTGAGAAGGAGAAGACCTTCTCAGATGGCTCGGAAGTCCCCCGGCCTTCTGAGAAGTTCCCCAATCAGTGCTTGCACTGAAGGGGTCCTAGCGGAGGTTGAAAGATTTGGCAAACATTTCCCGCCGATTTTGGTGTCAAGCTGGGTTCCCGGGTTCCCGATTCCAAGTTCCCGGGTTCGCGGTTATTAGTTCCGGGCCGATTTCGGTGGGCGGCGGGGTTCCTGGGTTCCCAGGTTCCTGGTCGATCTTCTAATCGATCGGTCTCACCATCGATCTCACTATCGATCTCACAAGCGATCTCACTATAGATCGCACGAGCGATCTCGCGATCGATCTCAATATCGATCTCTTTGAATCGACTTCATTATCGGTCTCACGATCGACTTTACAATCCTCCTCACTATCGATTCCACGATCGATCTCACTATCGATCTTACAATCGATCTCACAATCGATCTCAGGATCCATCTTGTTATTTTTCAAGCCATCCATTGATTGGGGTTTCTCTGGTGTAAATTTCTAAGCCTTCCCCGATGACAGAAAAACTTCTCAGAAGGCGCGATGGGCTTCTGAGAAGTCCCGCCGCCTTCTGAAAAAGGCCTTTTCCTTCTCATCTCCCCCCCTCGCCCACAGCCGACTCCAAACGGAATTCCCGTCGACGTTCGACACGCTCGGAGTTCCCGAGCTCCTGATGACCTGGCCGTCGGGCCGCCCGCCCTCGCCGGTAAGTTCCCGTCGCTTCGCCTGGGGTTCCACACGCGCGAGGTCCGTGGGAAACTGCCCCTGGCTGGCAAGTCGAGCGGCCGTTCTCGCCATGAGAATCCCTTCGCCGGGTTTCCGTACACCTGTGGCTCTACACGCCCGGGGTACTTCTCTCTCACACACAACACACAACACACACACACACACGCAGGCACACACACACACATTCACACACACGCACGCACGCACGCACGCACGCACGCACGCACCCCCCCACACACACACACACGCACACGCACACGCACAGGCACACGCATACACATGGAGTCCCACACGCACATGGGGATCCACGCACGTTGGATTCCACAAACATAATGTTTCACACGCTCGGGGCTCAATGAGCTTTGGGTTCCTCACTTGGGGGCTGCAAGTTCAGCGAGGACACAACTGGGTCTCTACATGAGTCGGGGTCACACTCGCAAACACACACGCACACGTGAAGTCCCGCACGTAGATGTTCCCCCCGCACACACACACACACGGGTTCCATACAATTGCGCGTGGTCGTCCACGCACTCGGACTTCCACGCACGTGGGGCTGCACGCACATGGAGCTCCACAAACATAGGACATAGGGCTCCACCCACAGACACACACACAGACATACAGACACACATTTCTCAGGCGCGCCAATGGGACACAATCGACGGTTAACGCACTATTCAGGTAGGACGCGCTCAGAATAGAGTGTCCACCTTGTGTTGGGGCGTGGTCCCTTTTGGCCCAGGTTGAACGTTTGACTCGGGGGTAGTCCTGAGATGCAACGGTCGGGGTCGCTGTACGAAGCATGCAGTTGGTGAGCAGCGGTGACTTTTCGGAGGGCTGGCACGCACGAGGGGCAAGAACAAGAGGAATACGCGCAGCGTGGGGGGCATCGAATCAGAGCACGGCTGAACGCGCGCACTGTGCCGCAAGCTGCTGTCGAAAGCATTCACGCGACACGTCACATGATGCACGCGCACGAGGGAAGCGTGCTGGCGCAACCAAGCCACTCGATCTACCCGTCGCAACCGATACTAGCATAAAGCGCCGCGGAGGGATTTTATCGACTGTTGCGACATCGGTCTCTAGCAAAAAAGAAGGAACCTCTCAAACCTGAGCGCAGAGACATGCAAACAGCCATAGAAAACTGATGGCTGGTGCGCTTGGAACAATGTGCGAAGGCGCGTGGGGCCGCGCACTGCAGTCACCCCTTCCAAACGGGTAGTTCTGACAAGAATGTGGACGATTAGTGAAGGCACCGCTCTCGCAGATCGAGGCCCTTGTCTGGAACAGCGGGGCGAGTTCTCTGGACCACGCGTTTGCATTTCGGCGCGACAATATCGATATTGCAGAACGTTGTGGAACGCGGCGTTGATCCACAGAACCGCTTGAAAAACAAAACGTTGTCCCACAAAACGTCTTGGAGCATCGATACTGTCGCGCCGAGAACTCTCTGAAACAAGCGCGTCTACCAGAGCACACCTCTCGCTGTTCCACACCAAGGCCTGGATCTGCGAGACCAGAGCACACCTCTCGCTGTTCCACACCAAGGCCTGGACCTGAAAACAGCTGTGCCAAGGGGGGCTGGGCCGATTGCCAGCTTCGCATGAGCTCGAATGGCGCGCGTCTCCCAGATCACCTCAGTCTGCAACAGCTTGAATGACGTGCGCCGTGGCAAGCCCCTTACAAATCGCCCTAAAATGCTGAAGTCTCCGAGAGAACCGACAAATCCAGATGCGGAACTGTGCAAGTGCAGAGGTCCCCGAACCCCCCTCTCACGAAAACTTGCTTGCCTAGCACCCTGTCCTTCCCGCAACCGTCTGCAGAGGTCCAAAGCTTGGGCCTTCAATGTCCCACGAGATCACGGGTCTCAGTCTGTATCAAGGCAGGCTGGGCAGAAAACTTCTGAGGGAAGCGGATTGGGAAGCAATGCAATACGCTTCTGCGTCGTGCAACGACGCTTATGATGCCACGCCCCGGTATGCCCTTCTGGTCCCAAACCAAAACTCCCTGCGGTGCACCATCCGTGAGATGGGCGTGTGCTGGCCGCCGAGGGCAATGCTTTGTTGGTTTAAAAGGCCCCTCACCACCGAGGGCTGTAGATCCGCCTCCAAATCCTGGTCTGAATGCGATTCACGAGATGTCCATTGACCGACTTCGACGGGGAGCGAAGACGAAGACGTAGGATGCAGGAGGGAGGATGAGAAGAGGAGGGGAAGGGGGAGGATGAGGGGGACGTATTACAAATTCTGGTACTCGCTCCTCCTCCTCCTGCTCACGATCCCTCCTGCTCATCTCTACTGCTCCTGACACTCCCTCATCCTCTCGCTCCTCCTCCGTGGTATCGATCCTCCTCAACCTCCTCTTCCTCCGCCTCCGCCTCCTTCTCCTCCTCCTCCTGGTGATCCTTCCTCGTCGTCCCACTCCGGTCCTCCCCCATGTTTTTGCTCCTCCCTCCCTCGAGCCAGGACCGAGCGCCCCGGCGTTACTGTAGCCACAGCGCGACATGCTCTTAGAATTAGAAGATGTTCTGATAACGAATACGGAGGAGGAGGAGGAGGAGGAGGAGGAGACTGACTGACTGACATCCCTAGGCGAACGAAGGTACGAGTGGTCTGACTACTACCTTAGGATTCGCTGGGCGGCATGCCTGAGTGGCTGCAACTTTGCTACACACTGGCACTGGCAGAAAACACTCGGGCCCCCAAGCAACCCAATAGGTATGAGCACCGGGCGCTTGGGTGGCGGCCCACACGATTTTTACACCAGAGAGACTGGGAGCGACCAGCACCTCACCCCCTGGCGCAGGGCCCCCAACGGCATCCCGCACCACGGGTCTAGGAGGAGGAGGAGGAGGAGGAGGAGGAGGAGGAGGAGGAGGAGGAGGGGAAGGAGGAGGAGGAAAAGAGGAGGAGAAGGAGGAGGGGGAGGAGGAGGAGGAGGAGGAGGAGGAGGAGGAGGAGGAAGAGGAGGAGGAGGAGGGAGGAGGAGGGAGGAGGGAGATGTTCTGATAACAAATGACTACCTTCCAGACCACTCCAAACCAACCCAAAGACCCGAATTTCGGGTTTGGGGAGGTATGGGCTCCATGTTTTTTGTCGATGTTTCTGGACCCCCCCCCAACTGGAAATGGAGGGCAAATTGAGGCCTTCGGGTTGTGTTGGGGTGGTTTGGTGGGTGGTGACAAACACAATTTTCTTATAGCATCAGCCCAATGCATTAACACAAGACGGTCTTGGCCAGAAAGGTTCTACGAACACTTCGTGCAAACCACAAAAGGTGCTTGACACCTCGTCAGTAGGCCTATCGGCAAACCAGGACGCTTCGCTGCTGTTTGTCTTCTATTCCTGATCTAGGGAATCGAACTCTATACACCGACGCTGTTTCAGGCCCTGCACTGAAACTCGTACAAGAAAGCGGGTCCTGGTGTATATGGGATGGTGGTGTATGTATTTTCGCATTTCCCCAGGAAAACGGGGGAGCATCTATAATCTATACACCACACCACCCCGACGTCGTTCCTGACCCTCAAAAAAGCCAGGGATTGAAAAACAGCACGCCACTGGTAATGTATATGTTCCAATTTCCGATGATCTTCCTCTCTCATGGTCAGCCCATCGACTCCTGCATTGTTCTGTGGGCCCCGTGCGCCAAGGCAGCGTACGTGCACGAGCTGAAACCAAACTCGAACGAAACAGTTAACGTGCAAGTAAAACACGTGCTCAATAAACGTGAACATCTCGGTGCAGAAGAGACGCAGCGGCTGGCCCTCCCTATCTGGACCTTTCTTAGACAAGCGCGTTGCACTACTCACAAATTAAGTGCTCGCAGATGGCCTGGATACGCCATAGGGGATTCACGATACATTACGTCGATGCAGATGTGCTTTTCGGACGTTTGCGAGTGGGCACTTTGCGCGTAGTGGAACGTGCTCAGTGAGTTCTGGAATCCTTGTTGGACCTCCCTATTTCAGGCTGTCTTAGACATCAAATGGTCGAGGCCTAGGCGTTACTTTACCGCCCAAACGCGGAGCGACGGGCTGCCGACGTAAATGTCGCGAAGGGACAAGGCCGGCAGCCGGGCCGCAAAGGTCAGGCGCATGCAGAACCGTCGAGCGAGAGCAGCAACGCGAGAGCGCCAGGCCAAGAGGCTGAGAGGCGGAGGGACGAAGGCCGGCGGTGAGCCGAAAAGGCGCCGCGGGGGGGGATCCGGCATGCAGGCGAGAGGCGAGGCGCGAGCGGCGCAAGAGCGCAAAAGCCACGGGGGTCAAACACACGGGCTCACACAGGCACACACACACACACATGGGGCTCCACAACGGTGCACTACAGGCACCAACGCATAGGGCTACATATGCAGAGTTCCAAACACACAGGGTCTTGCACACATGGGCCCCCGCACATGCTAGCGCACACACACACACACACACTTGTTCTCCGGCGCGCAGATGGGACGCAAGATGTACCTCTCACACACACGAAGGTATAGGGCTGCACACCCGAGGTTCCAAACACATAGGGTTTTGCACACATGGTCCCCGCACACACACACACACACACACACACACACGAACACGCAGACACACACACACACGCACACACACACACACTTTTCAACCTCGACGGACACGCGCCTCGAGTCGTTTCATCACAATGTGGGTCAAGCGAGCGGCAGGCGAAGCGTAACACGCAGAGGCACTGCGAAAGGCACGCACGCACGCACGCACGCGCGCGCACGCGCGCACGCACACACGCACGCACACATACACACACACAAGCGCACGCGCACGCGCACGCGCACGCGCACGCGCACGCGCACACGCGCGCGCACGCGCGCGCGCGCACGCACGCACGCACGTACACACACACACAAACACACACACACAAACACAAACACGATCACACGCACACGCACGCACACGGGGCTCAAGACGCATGGAACTCCACACGCATGGGGCTCCACACGTGTTGCAATAACAGATTGCCTTGGGGACCGCGCGCTGTCGTCACTCGTGTCTGATTCCAGATTGTGTCGGTCGGTTCGGTTTGGATCGGCATCTGAGGCTTCAAGCTTGGCCCAACAGAAACCCAGAAAAGCCCGAAGAGGGCGCCAAAAGCTCCCAAGAACACCCCAAAAGAACCCCGAATCGTCTGCACCACCTCCGCCAAGAGAATGTGTGTGATATGTCTCGCCATGTACAACAGCCCCAATGAAGGTGAATCGGACTGATGTCTTGTACTGTATACCGCGTTCTTGAATTCTTGACGCTCCGCGTGCCGTCTCATCCAAAACATATTCCTAGGTGAATTGAGGTAAGATGTGGGGTGGGTGGGCATCCGTGAAACTAATTAGGGGGGGGGTGGGATATTCAGAACCCCGCGGTAATACTCTGGAAGATTCATAAACTCCGATGTATATGCATGACGTCCGTAAGACGCCCGCACGAATCTACTCGACCAATGGTACGGCATCGCAGAGGGCGGCCGCACCTATCATGCTGTATTACTCGTTACACGGAAACGCCTCGGGGCGAAACAAACCTAGGGGTAATCTACCCACCGCGTGGCAACGCAAACGGGCGGACTGCCTACTGGATATACTCTACCGTCGCGTGGGAAAACAAGAAACTGAAACAACTTCGGTTGTGTTTTACTGGCACGCAATAACTAAATGGGAAAGACACCGATTCTGCATCACTGGCTACAATGTAACGCAGCCGGGGGAGAACACGCACTACAATGTTGTACTCGTCACGTCACATCGCAACGTGGCGGGTCACATACCATCCGATGTCACATGTCGCATGGCAACGCAGGGAGATGGGCACCTTTCTAGTGAGTTCCAAGTGTCACTTTGCAGCGCGGAGAGGGAGGCGATCCACATACTAGTAGATCATACTACTCGTCACGCGGCTTCGCAAGTGGGCGGGCCAAATCCTACTTCGATTCCACCCCTACTAGACATGTAGCAACGCAAGGTGGCAGAACATATGCTAGGCCACTCCTGCGGTCACGTGTCCGCACCTGAGGAGCAACAGCAACCAGCACTCTGCCGAAAGCGTGGCGTGACAACGGGGGTGGCTCCTGCTGCACTGTACGCGCCCACGCCCGCCCGCACGCCCGCGCGCCCGCCTGTCCGCCCAACGCCCCCGCTCGCACGCCCATTCGCCCGCCGTCTCGCCCGCGCGCTACGCCGCACGCGCGCCCGCCCGTCCGACGCACGCGGCGAAACCTCTGCAGACCCGCAGGCGGCCACCAGCCGACACCTCGGCAGACCCAGCCAGCGCACGTGGCGTTCAAGAGGCGCCCACGGGTGGCCACAGGTCGAAACCGCGACGGACCCAGCCAGCGCGCACATGGCCCACCCCGCGCGCGCCGCGCACCTGGAGCACGGGGCACCCACGGCGTGCGCGGATCATCGGACGCGAAAGGCACGCTTGGGTCCCTGCGGCACATGGCGCACTTGGTGCACGTGGCGCATGCGGCACGCGTGGCACAACTCGGGGAAAGAGCGCCTGGCGACCCGGTGGGTGTTCATCCGATGGTGACCTCTGCCTATGCTGTGTCGCTGGTGCGACTTACAAGGCGGCAGGGCAGGCAGTAGTGAATGCGCCAGCTTGTGGTGTTCCCGTCGGGAAGTTCAAATATCCCAATGTTTCCTCGCTGGGTCTGGAGATGGGAGAAGGCGCAACCCATAGAGCGTCCAAGATGGCCCAGGAAAGCTCCAAGAGGGCCCCGAATAGCCCAATATGGCCTCGAATATTGCACAACCTAAACCAATCCGGTTTACGGTGTCATCCAACATGCCTCCGCGAGACCGCTAAACCACCGTAAGACGACTCGATGTGGTCTCGGAGCCTCCCAAGGACACCCCCCAAGAGGCCATATTCATTAAACCACATGTGGTTGCTAAGTGTATGTTGCTTGACGGCAGGTTTGTGATCGATTGGCGCCTGGGAACTCGAGATGGCTCCAAGATCGCACGATCGGGCCCCAAGAGAGGCACAGAAGCGCTCCAAGAGGCCCCCCCAGATCTCTCCTGACTCTTTGCGCAATGGCTGAACCGATGAGCTTACACCGAAAGGCAGCGCGAATTGCTGAACTCTTCTTTTCCAGTCAACAGAAATTATACATCCCATTGTGTTCAGAGATGTGGGCACCTCGGTGTCAGTATTGGGAGGCGCGTGGGTCCAGAGCCATACGTCTGCTCTGATGTGGCCTTCAATGTTGTGCAATCTGGCCCAGGTTGATTCAAAATGGCGTCGACCATGCCTTCAATAGAACACAAAGCCAGATTTCTGCACGTGGCCTGGGAGCCTCCCCAGGACGCCTCCCGCCCCGAGAAGCCAAACGCACGCAAAACCTGAATGCGTTAAATGCATGTTGCTTCATCGCTCGTTCGCTTCCGACGGGCTTCTGGGTGCCCAAGTTGGCTCCAAGGACGTCCAAGCCCGCCCCAAAGCGACATCTGATTGTCGAGGTTCCCCGCCGCATGTCGCATGATTTTTGGGGCCCAAGACGGCTCCAAAACGGGCCAAGAGAGACCCAAGAGACCTCCAAGATGGTTGAAGAATGCTCCGAGTCGCCGAAAGATCGCTCCAAGACGCCCAACACGGCTCCAAGACGGTCCAAGATACCTCCATGACACCCCCAGAGGCCTCCAAGAGGCCTCCCAAGAGGGCCACACGAGGCAACACTCACAATTTGTCCATCGGTGTTTGAAGGATTTCAGCGTTCGCACCTTTCTGCTGCCCGATGCTCCAAGGCGGCCCAAGAAGCCACGAAGACCCCCCGAAGACGCCCCCAGATGCCTCCCAGAGTCCCCATGACGGCCCCTGAGGCCTGGAAGACGGCCGACGGCTCTCAAGACAGACCCAAAAGAAAACCAAGGCGCCCGAACGGACATGTCGAGCCTTCGGCCCCGAGAAGCCCCCAGGAAGCCCCAGAGAGCCCCAAGAGGCTCCGAGGATGCTCCCAAAAGGCCCAGAGGCAGTCGCGATGCTGAAAAACTGCTTCCCAATGGCCCTCCCAAGCTCTCCGAAGAGACCCCAAGAAGCATCCCTGAAAACTCTGACAAACAACACAGGCACGGTGGCGGGATGGGCCGAAGGCCATTCGTCAGGTTCATTTACGTCACTGGTCAACGCATCTCGCCCATACGGCGTGTCTAAATAGCATCTGCATGAGCGTCGCGGCATTACCGCTTGCTTGTGCGAATCAAGTGCAGGCATTTGGTACAACACACTCTAGAACAGACCATGCCATATGAACACTTCATAAGCACGCCACCAGCTTGAACGTTCTCAAACTTGCAAGTTCGCAACAATACTGTAAGTATGCGGGTGGTCACACCTGCTCGTCGTATATACAAGATGGTTGTGCAAAGCAATCATAACATTATAAGCGGAATCGCTGAATAACACGCGATTTAACAATGACACATATCAAGGCCTCGATGATTCCGCTCATCGCTAGAGGCACCGTGGCGGAAACCTTCGGCGGTGCGGTCAAGTTGTACCTGAGCGAACGCCGGCATACAATATCCACGCCTGTTGTTCTCTTGGCGATAGGCGTGTGAAACAAATGTGGGCTGGCAAAAGCGGCAACAGACGTTCGGCCACCCCCGTCGAAACGGCACAACCAACTCGCAGTGGCATCAATCACGGCTCGAACTCTCGACTTCATCTTTCTGCATGATGTCGACCTGGTTTGCCCACTGCGAGCCTGGGGGTCTGAAACTGAGCGCGTAAGCCCACCATGCTATCCCTCGTGCAAGATACCTGTATACATACACACAGCAGAACCATCTCGCGCTTCGCGCGCGCAGAAGTTCTAGCTAGCTTGGGCGCAAAGGCATGTCGTGGGTATGGGAAACACGAAACGCAAGGTCTCGATGGCGTGTTGAAGAGAAGGCATTGATGTCTAAAGGTGTTGGCTGGATGTGATGGCATGTAAGTATTGGAGCACTGCTGGGACCTCCTGGGAAGGAATAGACCAAAGGCATATGGGGACCATATGGAATCTAAGACTGCATCCAAATGAATGCACTGCGCGTTGGAAAGCTGAACCCTACTTCAGAACAGCGCACATAACTTACAGCATTCCTAAACTCGTCAGAACAATCGACGCCATACGTCGAAACATAATGACCACCTGACCCGCTACACGTGTTGTAAGACTTCAGGCTGTAAAGATACGACGAAACAACTGATGCAGTACTTGTCGTAAGAATTCAGAACGAAACATACATCAGAACAACTGACCTGCGCAAGCATGCAACCCAAGCGAACCAACTCCCATCGGGTACCCGCTCCATTTGCCTTCTAACACGTCCTTCAAGCCAGTGACGGTATACTCTGTGATGAGGACGCCATTCTTCGGGCCAATGCGGATATACACACATATTGCATGGACGTCGTCACTGCTAGGGAAGAGAACATAATGTGGTACTCGGCACAAAGAGAACAATCCACACCCGCATATGACCCGTGCTGTGGGTAGAAATGCCTAGGGAAGATAGGGCTGTACACTTCTGCAGCTGTTTGCTGCGGGAGAGAAGAGCAGAGTCTGATGGACAATCACACTGACATTCAACGGTGCACCCGAAAAGGCGTTGCCGCTCTGGACCGAAACATGTCTGACTCAACTTAATGACCCCTGTGCATGCATCACGTGGACTGGCAAAATAAACTGGCCATGCGCACTGACCACATCACTGTCCTCTCCGCTAACCTTCGTCGCTTCCACTCCAAATCTACATCCTATGCCGTGGCTTAGGCCGCGGGATCGAAAGGAGGAGCAGGGTGGCGAGGGGAAACAGAGTGAAGGAGGATGGTATGATAGAGAATGGAGGAAAGGGTTGGATCAAGGAGAGGATGAGGAGGATGTGAGGGAGAGGAGAAGATCAGGAGGTGAGGAGGGGGACGGGGAAGAGGGGATGAGGAGGATGAGAAGCACGATTCTACGATGATAAGTTGAAGGCAGGCCAGAATAAGCCCAAGATCAACGACGCTGCAATTCACCCTCCCGTCCCAAACCCTTTCCCCGCTAATTCCTACAAGTCATTCTTCCTCACTGGATGAGCCACCTGCGCCTCTTGAAGGACGAACGTCATGAGCCCGCAATTCAGGCGGGGGCTCTGTTTTGAAGGAGACCACCCTGCATCCTTCGAGCAGGAAATATGGTGGGGCTTTTAACATTGAAGGACATGCCCAACGACATCTCCGCTTAGAAGAAACACTCCCTGCAACACTGCAATCGTTCCACATAGCATGACTTCTGGTCTGCAGACGAAATTATGACTCAAACGAAGGCCCCAAATTGAAAAAAAAGAGCCGTCCCCCACCGCGTACCAGCCGAACAGCTCTTACACATGTGGTAACACTTCGCGAAACAATCCCAAACGACATCTCCATTTTGGAAACGTGCCTGCCTCCATCCGTGTGACTCAATTGCACGTTTCCAACAATTACAATTCAGACTGGAAACGAGTAAGGCGGATGCGCGCAACGCTAAGGCGGGAGACACATTGCGAATACCAAGGGTTATCCGTCAGCGTGACTACTAGAACAATGTGTACATAATCTGGCAAATGCTACAATCATATCCTCATGTCGAAAACCACTTGCTATCCATCCGTGGAACTGTTGCTGGGACACTTCTTAAAGATGCATGTGCGCGGCGCTGAGGCGAGAACCACACTTTGAAAACGCCCGGCCCTACATCCGTGTAATTGTTGGAAGTGTCAAACTTCGGGTCCGATCTTTGCTGTAGGGCCATCTTAAGCGAAACGCCCGACCCCGCACCCCGCCTACAGACACGTCTGGTGGTGCGGCAGGGATGAGACATTGGCTATTGATTGAGAGGAGGGGAGGGGTGGGGAGTGGGAGAAGACAGGGGACACGAGATTGTAGAAGTAATGAGGGGAGTAAAGGGGGCAGAGGTGGTGGGGAGGAGGAAGAAAGGAGGAGGACTTATCAAGACCGCTTGTGCCCTCGTGGCCAGCCCTTGGGCCACGGAGGCGATGCAACGAGACCTGGGCGTCCTGCAGGGACGAGGAGGATGAGGACGAGGCAACGTAGGATGACGAATCGGACGGTCGTTCCTTCGAGTTTGCGCGGCGAGGCTCGAGGAAGAGGAGCAGGAGGAGCATGGGACGGGATGACGAGAAGGCAGGAGGGAGGAGGACGATAATAAGGAGGACGGCGAGAAGATAGGAGGAGGCAGAGAAGAAGGGGCAGGAGCAGGAGCAGGAGCAGCAGGAGGACAACAAGGAGAGGAGGAGGAAGAGGAGGAATAGGAGGAAAAGCAGGAGGAGGAGCCCGCTGGCCCCCTTGGGGGCCACCAAGCTGTGCGGCAGAAGCTTCTTGCGCTAGTTTCCGCTTCCAGTCTCAAATTGTTGCAACTCCTGCGTCCTAGAATAAAAAGCGTTGCTATCCGCGGGAGGAGGTCCGCGCGGGGGAGGGGGGCACCGAAAAGCAGCCTGGCCACCACGCCCGAATCGCGTTGCCTGACGTCTGGTGAGTCTGGGACACGCTAGGATTTATGAGAGACTCACGCCTCCGAGGCAACATCCCTTCGCGCATTACACCAATCTCGCTTCCCCGAGGCCAGAATTCACGCACATTGCACCGAATTCGCGCTACAGAGGCTGGAATAATTACCCAAGTTGATCAGATGTGTGATATCGAGGCCGGGTTCCATTGCAAGTTGCGCCAGATTCGTGTTCCCGATGCCAGAATCTTGCACCAATTACGCCAGACTCGGTGCCAGAAATCCGTAATGTTCTGTGAAGTCGGGAGGCGCGTATCGCCCCCCCCCCCCTCCTCACCCACGCGTGTCCTGAACATCGGGGTCGGACCCATGACCACGAATCAAAGACAACCCCAACCGTGAGACTTTGCCAAACACGGCTTCAAGCAGCCGCACCCACTCGCTCGAAGAGGGAGTCGAATGCACAATGTGAGAGAAGTGCCCTGAGAAGGAAACAAAGCGTTCAACCCCAACTCCAGCATCTCGAGGTGCTTGATGAATACCAATCGCCCTCGCATGATTTTCCCAGACGTATTCAACATGTCGCCTAGACATCTCACCATAGCTCGGATAGATCCCCTTGTGGTAGAGAGGGGGCCGGCGGCAGAGGGCGAAGCCCTTACGGATACAAGGAAGTAGGCTGAGGATGAGGCGAAGAGATGAGGAGAAGGGGTGAGGAGAAGTGATGCGGAGAAGGAGGAGAAGTGATGCGGAGAAGAAGGAGGAGGATGGCGAGGAGACACGGAGAGGAGGAGAAGGAGGAGGACAAATGAAGCGAAGGAGAGAACTGAGAAGGGAGGAATCGAGGATAGAGAAGAAACAGGAATGCGACTGCAGCGGGGCTCCTCTCCAGTCCAGTCAGGCCGGCACCCACCCCGAGCAGGAGGGAGGAGAGCGACCGCCCAGAAGGGTCCGCGACAAGATCCCCGACCGCCTCTGCGGAAGCAGAACCTGCACGCTGCCTGGCCGACTGCCTTGCCAAACGCACACGCGAGGGCCTCCCCACACAGGATGAGGATGGCGGAACACGAGGGGGGGAGGTTGACGGACGATAGAGTTGAGTCGGGCGTGTCTCTCTACGGGAGGAGTAATTTCAAAAATTGTAAAAAATGGACTATGTTTGAACATTCTTGGGGTATTTCTTATTTTCCGTCCAAAAATCCGCCTGTAGGGGGACATGCCCGACCAAACGGTAGAGGGAAACAATTCGTGGCTCTAAGAGGGTTCCAAAGGCTCTGGGGGGGGAATCTTGGCGACTCCCCTCCACGAGGGGGGGCCAGTGATCACCTCCAGGCGGCCAGAGGGCACCTCGCCGTCCGGGAGGAAACAGAGATCCTTTTCCTCCTCCTCCTCCTCCTCCTCCTCCTCCTCCTGCTCCTCCTCGTTCTACTCCCCCTGACCTCATCATCCTCATCGACCTCGTCCTCCTCCCCCTCCCCTCCTGCTCCACGTCGTCCTCCGTAGTCTCCTCCTCCTCCTCCTGCTCCTCCTCCTCCTCCTCCTCCTCATCCTCCTCCTCCTCCGCCTCCTCCTCCTCCCCCCAACCTTCTCCCCCCGCCCCCAGCCCAGGGGCACAGCACGCACGGCAAGCATGAGGGAAAAAGACGGATGCCTGGAGGGGGAGGATGTACCGGGGGCGGGGGGGGGGAAGGGGGGGGCCTGCTCAAACCGCACACGACATCGTGACGGCGGCACTCGGCGCGTCAGGATCCGCGGGCACCCAGGGCAGGCCCCCGCGTCCTCGAAGATCTTGATGGCGAAATCCTCCTCGAGGTTGAAGGTCAGCTTCTTCTTCCCGCCAAGTGGCGAGCCGGCCGGGTACCTCTGCGAGCGCCGACGAGGACCCCGCGCAGGAGGCCCGCACGCGCACCGAGAAGGGCTCCGCTTCCACAGGATGGCACGCAGCAGCGCGGCCCGCCGAGAAGCACGCCCGCCGCCAGAGACGGAGCTCGAGGCCTCCCGGATGGGGTCGGAGCAAAATGGGGTCGGAGGATCGCGTCGCATGGTCGATACATCGGCGATGCATCGGCGATGTATCGGCGATGCCCCGTCGATGCAAGCAATGTCGATATCGGCGAGGCATCGGCGACGTCGACGTGAAGCAAATCGGCCTCCACATCAAGCCGCATCGGCGATGCATCGGCGATGCGGCGCGATCCTCCGACCCCATCTACTCCAACCCCATCTAGGAGGCCTAGAAAGCACACGTCATCCTCCGACGAGCTGCGGACGGCAGTCTGCGGGTAGCAGAAGCAGAGGCGGGATGCTCGCACAGCGAATTCACCACCCTGTGCATCAGCGCGGGCAGAGCTGGCACTTCCGGTGTAATCCGACATGGCGACTCACCCACACACACATCTTCGCGATATCCGGGCACGCGTGCGTTGCTGATACAATACCGAAGTGCCAGCAACTGACGGCCCACCGTGAGAGGCGTCATCCTCGAAAGGGTGGCCACTTGTCGACGGCGACGGCGCCCGAGCCGCAACTGGTCCGGCAGAGCCTGCAGAGGCCGCTCGCCCGTCGGCAGAGGCGCCATCTTTTTGGGGGTCGCTACGCTTCGAATGTCAGGGCGCCCGAGCCGCAGCTGGCCCACACAACCAAAAGAGGCACTGGGCCTGTCGGTAGAAACGCCATCCTTTAGGGGGCGCCCTTGCAGCAACTACAACAACCAGAGCACCGACAACCAGTGGATGGCACCGACAACACATCTACAACACCAGCAGCCGTATACATGATATGACGCGTCACAGACAAACCATGAAGGCAGCAATCGCACAGCACGGCCAACAACACAACAACACAGCAACGACACCATCAACAATCTTAACATCAACCCAACAACAACAACACTTAACCAACACTCTTGCAACATGATCAACGCACGAACCTAGAAAGGGAGTGATAACTGCGCGGCATGGCGAGCAGTGTCTGCCAGCGGGGAATATCAAAACAAGGATGCCGCCACACAGTGTCTTTGGGATGTGTGGCCCGAATTGAGGCTAACAGTTGAGCAGAATGCCAATCCAGCCGGCGGCGCTCTTATTCCGACCGAAGGGCGGGCCGACAAAGAAACGCGGGCCAGGGACGAAACAGGGACGGGCCGGAAAGCGAGGAGCCGAGGAGCGAGAAGGGGAAGAGGCGAGGGAGGGACGACGACAAGAAAGGACAGACCGGGCCGACGGACAGAGGGACGGGAGACGGAGAGAGGCAGCCAAGCAGGGAGAGAGAAAAGGAGAGGACACAGCACACCAGGGGGAGGACACACGAGGGCGAGAGGGGGAGGACACGGAGAGAGGGAGGGGGAGGGAAGCAAGGAGCCAGAGGCAGGGCAGGCAGGAGGGACGCACAGGGACAGCGGGCAAGGGAGGGCACGGGCCCAGCACGGCGGGCAGCGGGTGAGACGGAATCGGCTCATCTCGTACTACAGCGCACGCGGCTGCGAGGCTGGAGAAGGGAGAGGAGGAGGAGGAGGAGGAGAAAAATGTACATTCACTGCCACAGCGGCGGCACGTGGCCAGGCGACCAACCGCCTACCTCCACGCCCGGGGCGAGATCGTGGAGGCGTCGCAAAATGGCCCGCGCGTTTTCCCTGTGAAGGGAACGTGACAATCGCTGGGCTATTCGCAAGCTCTCCCCCTCCGCCCCCCCGCGCCAGCAGGCGCTCGCGTGCTTGGCAATCGTGTCCAAGGTCTGCCGTGCCGTCTTCCCCCAGCCGCCGCCGTGGGATTCGATCGCCATCGGTACAAAAGACAGGCCTGCGCCCGTGCACAGTTCCTCTGTTGTGGCGGTCTCTCCAAGGGCCTTAAAAGACCTCTTGAAGTCCTCGTATGCGCTCAGGATAGACTCTGGGTTCGTTGCAGCGTCTCGTAGCACATCTGCGCGCAGACCCGACGTGCAAGCGAAGTCCAGGGCAGCAGGTGTCCCGCCCAGAGCTCGGGGGAAGAAGACATCGGCAGGGCGTCTCCGGGACCTTGCAACGCCCGGGGCCTCCCCTCCGCCACTGCTGGGAGGCGTGCCGTCGTCCCGCGGGCACTCCGGGAGCAGACTGGGCTTCTCCCTCTCAGGGCCCATCTGACCCTTCAATGCGTCTTCGAACACCGAGTCCCGCAAGCGACTGTGGCGGACCGTGCGGCCACCGCTGCATGGACACACGAGGGCATGACCGCCGAAACTGTCCATGGTGCCGCCGCACATAGGGCAGAACATGTCGGCATCCTGCACGCGGATCCGCAGCCTGCGCCTCAGAGCCATCTTGAACAGAGCGGGCTCTATGGTTCGCGCGGCGTCCGCTGGCGGCGCGGTCAGCCACGCCCCAGCCCCGCGTAGCTGCTGGAGGGACAGGTGGGCCGCGTAAGAAACGTCGGCGGAGCTGTCGCGCCTCAAGTCCTGCTCCCGCTTAGCGTCCACCAGGGCCGACATCGCCTTTTGACTTTGCCCAAGAGGGGCAACGGCCTCGGGCAAAATGCGTCCGGCGTGCGCCCGTTTCGCTGCGTCCCGATGCGAGTGGCCAGCCGTGTCGTCAGGGTCGAAGCCAGTGTCAATGGACGCGCACGTCGCCTCCGTGGCGCGCAGAGACGCCAAGTACGCGGCAGCCGCGTGGTCGTCGGCCCCTCTGAGACCGAGGCCGCCCCGCTTGATTCCCAGCGTGGCATGCATCCACTCGCGGTCTCCAATCTCGGCGCCGAGTACTTCCTTGAGGGCCGCCCGCTGGTTCGCCGTGAACTCCTGCAAGACGCTGTCGTGCAGCTCCGGCGGCGCCGTCCGCATTGAGTATACGAGCTTAGCGTACGAGGCGCACTGGCGGATGAGATGGAGCGCCGCCTGGGCGTCTTGCAACTTTGACACCTCCCGCAGAAGCACCCCCGCCTTGCGTGCCCTCTTCTGCGTGTGGCTTGCGCAAAATGCCGCTGATCCGAACGGCGCCCCGAGCAGCTTGAAATTCCCGGACTGATTGAAGTTAAAGCCTTCGAACAAACCTGGCGGGACGCTGTGCCGCCCCGTTGCTGCGGGGACAATATCGCACTTTGCTCTGTTGAGTGTCAAGCCAACGTCAGCCAGGGAGCTCTCGGCGAGCTCGCAGAAGCGCCGCACGGCTCGGGAAGACCCTCCAATCACACCGTCGTCCAAGTAGAAGGACACCAGAAGCGATTCCCCAGGAAATTCCCGCAGCACTTGAGCTCGCGTCTCCTGGATGATTGCATGGATGGCCAGAGCGAACAGGGCCGGGCCGAGAGGGTCGCCCTGCTGCACTCCCCTTGCGGACTCCAAGCGGCTACTGCCCATCATGAGATTGGTCGGCTCGCCGTAGCAGAAATCCACCCATGGGGCTAATTCGGGCACCACTCGCCGGACTGCTTGCCGAACCTGTGAACGGTCTACCGTGTTGAAGGCGTTCAAGAAGGTCCAACATGGCCAGGACGCTATCGGTGTCGGCGCTGTGGCGTCCGATCCACTGCCGAACGGTATGCACGACCGCCTCGCAGCCGGATGTTGTGTCCACTCCGACTTGCAACGGTTCTAGATGAGAGCGCACCTCCTCTGCGGCCGCTGCGGCCAGGAGCTCGCCAGTCACCCGCCGAAACACCTCCCCAACAGCAATGGGTCGGAGACCGCCGTCCTGCTTCCGCAGCGCTGCCAGAGAGCCGCCGCATAGCCAGGGCCGCACTGCAGTCGACGCCTCACCGCGTGCGAGGAGCTCAGCGAGGGCCCCCATCTGTCGCAGCACTTCGTCGGCCATGCCCGGGGTCAGCGCGTCCCTGAAGTGCTGTGGTCGTAGAGCGGACGGGCCGGCCGCAGAACCTTTCGGGAAGGAACGGATTGCTTTCTCGACGTCCTCTGGCGTGGGCTGCGGGGCTGCCTGTGGGCTGATCGGCCGCAGCGCCCGCGTGCGCTCCTCTTCTGCTTGTCTGGCAAGCGGATGCTTGTCCCGCATGTCGCGGAGCACCTCGGTAGTCACTGGGACTGGCGGCTCTCGTACCAAGGAGCCGCACGCTTTGCTGTACAAGCTCTCTTTGACCAAGAGCACGAACGTCAACCACACGTAGAAGAACACCAAGAGAGCAACGTACACACGAAGGAGGCACAACATTAACACAACAACACCACAATCGACAACAACAATGATAACCCCTACCAAAGCCAACAACATGAACACATACTTGTGACAACCAACAACAAAAAACGTCGGCATGAACCGCAACACGCATAATAAGATAAATGTCGAACTATTAGCAGAGGCCTCCGATCACGCAATCCTGGACTGCGCATCAACCCTTCACGCGGGAACAAATTCAAAGACAAATCAATGCGACGATTCATGCTGATAAACTACCCGTCCGGATCCGGCACCTTGCCGTAGGCACTGAGCGAAGCGTCCTCAGGTTACTGCGGAACCCCCCAGAGGACCTCTGCGGCTCCTAACAGGCCCCAAGAGACCTCCAAGAGGGAACTACGTACTTCCGAGAGGCCCTCAAAAGGCTCCCAGAAACCTCGACTATGCATCGTACCCACGACCCAGGCACGGTGGCGGGAAGGACACGATGTCCCTATATCCGCCAACCCCTCCTGATTTATCACAATGGTGCCTGGCGTGCTAAATGTCTTACGGCTTGGCTTTGGCTCTTTCCCAAAAAGACTTCCCCTGGGCCTTCGCCCCATTGCGTCGGGGTGCTCCTCCCGTCGGCTTTTTCGGTCGAGATTGCATCACTATGGCTTCCATGACGGCCAGGAAGCTTCCGAGACAACCAACACGTCCCCAAGAAAGCCCAAGATAGCCCCAAGATGGCCTCCAACATGGTCCCACGATGCCGCCTAGATCGACAAGATGGCCCAAGAGAACCCAAGACAGCCCAAGAACCGCTCAAGATGCCCCGAAGATGGCCGAACAAGCCTCCAAGAGTTCTTCCAGGAAGGCCGGAAGATGCTCACTTCTACAGTTTTTTTTAAGGAGTTGGCATTCGCTTTGTTTCAGCTTTCCGACGGTCCAAGACAGCCCAAGAGGCTCCCATGATCGTCCAAGAAAGAGGCCTCCCAAATGGCCTCGTCGGCCCAATAGGTCCCCACGACAGCTCAAGAGGCCTCCGAGACGCCCTCTATGGCCTCCAAATCTGTTCTGAAACGCCCCAAGAAAGCCCCAAGACGGCCAGGAGAGGCCCCCAAGACGGCGTTCGACTGGCTGGGAACGCCCTAAGATGCCCAAAGACGCCCCCGAGAAGCTCCCACTGGCCCACAAGAAGCCCAAGGAGGCCCCCAAGATGCCTCCAAGAGGCTCCCATGAAGCCCCCGGGAGGCCCCAAGAGTGCGCCCAGAGGGCTCCCAAGATGCCCCCTCCTCCTCCTCCTCCTCAGCCTCCTCCTCCTCCTCCTCCTCCTCCTCCTCCTCCTCCTCCTCCTCCTCCTCCTCCTCCTCCTCCCCCACGTGTTCCCCGAAGGTTTTCCACGTCTGCTGGGGAAACGCAGGGTCCGATAGCTTGGCAGAGCTCTTGCCACAACGCTCGGCCACATGGGCGATTCCAAAAGGCAGGAGGCGGTGGTGATTTGGCGTAGGCGTCTTCGATAACCAACGTGCAAGTGAACGCGAACGCGAACGATTGGAACACGACGGAGATCAAACTGTGTGCTGGCTAGGCGAAGTCATTCATCACAAGCAACACTCTCTCAGGCACAAGCTCGATGAGGGGCTTCTGGGGGGTAAATACATGCATGCTACATCAACTGCGCTGTGGGAGGAAGTGCAGGCTCGGCTCACAAAAATAATGCATTACTTGGTCAGCCTGTGAGCGCGCTCTCGTCACTTCAGATGAGTTCCACGTTGTGCTTCACAATTAAACATGGCTGGTCCAACGATCCACTGCCTTCGCCATTGTTTCACACTGCGCTCGCGTGGCGCACAGTATGGTGTAATTCTTCTCCCAGTCGCCCGACAGCGACACTACCTCAAACCATTCATGAGATGATGTGGGCATCGCGGCATGCACGCATGGCATGGTCGCCCCTGTACCGCATCACTCCCTCGAACCCTGAAGGCCACACATAATTTACCCGCGCCCCCCACACATCTACCCAGACAGTCCCCGAATGCGGCATCTCAGGTGAGGTCCAATTGCTCCTAAGGTCCCCGAGTCCCTCACGAGGTTCTCTCGGAGGGCCTGCATGTGACTACCTGCCAGACCACCCCAGCCCAACCCGAAGACCCGAATTTGACCCGAATTTCGGGTTGGGGGGGTACGGGCTCCATGTGTCTTTTTCAATGTTCCCCGACCCCCCCCCCTGGAAATGGATGGCAGACTGAGGCCTTCGGGTTGGGTTGGGGTAGCTTAGCGGGTGGTGAACGCGTTCGCCCTCCCGGCCCTCCCGACCAGACAATTCGGGAGGAGCTGGCCGACGGCTCGGCCCCTGTCCTCCTCCGCGCCTCGAATGGGCACCTGCCCCTCGACGCCAGCTCCACCGGGCCGAATGCCGCATGCGGGGGGCTCGTGTCTGCAACGAGCCCCAACCGTACAGCCAGGCAGGCGGCGCCGTCCCATCTAAAACCAAAAGGAAAGGGGCCTGAACAGATGCACAAACCTCCACATGTCCCCTCATCCTCGAGAACGGGGGATTGTGGAGTCGCAGGGGTTCAAAAGCGCGCGCGCGAGGCTTTCGCGCTAAGTTCGTGACTGCGTCTGTGCAATATCTGCGCGCTCTGTGCCGTCGTCGTCCTCCTCCTCCTTCTCCTCACTCCTCCCCGTTGGCCTCTGTTCCTCCTCCTCTTCCTCCTCCTCCTCCTCATTCTCCTCCTCCCCCGCTTCTCCAGGAGTGTTTTTGTGGCGTCCCCCCCAAACGAAACGGGGTGATGTTCCAGATGTTGTTTTTTGGGGGAGAAGAGAAAAAAGGAAACGCCCTCTCTCTCCTCCTCTTCATCCTCCCCCCTCCTCCTCCTCTTCCTCCTCCTCCTCCTCCACCTCCTCATCCTGTTCTTTTCCTCCTCCTCCGCGCTGCTCCGCTCGTTCCTTCGTCTCTCCCCCGCCCTCCCCCTCCTTCATCCAGAACCAAGCTTTTTGCTATTGTGATGCTTCGAGAGAAAGAACTACCACAGGTGGCATTGCAGTGGCATTGGTTTGGCCATGGTTTGGTATCGCATTGGCATTGCGTTGACATGGCGCTTGACACCTTTTAAAAGCAGGGTTCACGTTGAAACATTACACATATGGGTTCCATGCGAAACCCTCCACGGAAGGATCCCTACTGAAATCTATCACACATGTTTTTTCCCATTGGCGTTGCATTGACATTGGGTTGGGACCGCCTTGGCATTAGTTTGGCATTGCGTTGGCACTGCTTTGGCATTGCGCTGGCATTGTCCTTTCGAGTTCCAATGTCTCCCTTCGCAGGATGATTCCTATTGAAGCCCACGCAGGAAGGATCCCGATTGAAACATTCCACAAGAAGGGTTCATAGCAATCCCCTTCAACGCAGGATTCCATTCGAAGCCATCCATCGAAAGAGTCCTACCGAAACCGACCACAAACGATTTCCCCCAGGCATTTCCTTGGCATTGGATTGGGATATTGGGATTGTCATGGCATTGGCTTGGCATTGCGGTGGCATTGCTTTGGCATTGCGCTGGCGACTTCTAATGCCTCCCACCAAAGACGGACTCCTAGTTAAAACTTCCACACGAAGGGTCCCCCACATGAGGGGTTCATGGCGAAACCCTCCAAAGAAGCATTCCTGCCGAAACCCTTCACCACATGATTCCTGTCAATTTCCTCCGGTTAAGGGTCCGTAGCCAGATCATCCACATAAGGATTTCTGCTGGAATCTGTCGAACGACTGGAATCATGCCATCAGCATTGCATTGGCGTTGGTTTGGTAACGGTTTGACATCGCATTGGCATTGCGTTGGCATTGAGATGGCAGTGCGTTAGCAGTGCGTTTGCATTGCGATGGCATTGCGCTGGCGAGTCCCAACCAAAAGCTCAACATAAGGATTCCGACAGAATACCCCCACGAGAACGATGCCTACGCCCCCCCCCCCACAACAAGGATTCACATTGCAATCCTCCACGAAAAGGGTTCCATGCGAACCCCTCCAGAGAAGGATTCGTAGTGAAATCCTCCGAAGAAGGGTCCTTAGAAGGATTCCGTTGTGAATGACACCATCCACCGAAGGGTTCTTCGAAGGATTGCTGGGGAGCGCTACCACAAGCAATCCACCCCTTTGGAGTTGCACTGGCATTAAGTGTGGATCGCCTTGGCGTTGGTTTGGCATGGAGTTGGCACTGCTCTGGCATTGCGCTGGCGAGTCCGAGTGCCTCCCTTCGCAGAACGATTCCTGTTGAATCCCTCCACAAGCAAGGTCCCGTTTGGAATATGCAACGAAGGATTCCCCTCATTGGCATTGCATTGGCATTGGATTGGGGTCGCCTTGGCATTGGTTTGGCAGTGCGATGGCACTGCTTCGGCATTGCGTTGGCATTGCGCTGGCGAGTCCGAATGGCTCCCTCCGCAAAAGACTCCTACTGAACCCCGGCAAAAGGATTCCGAGCGAAACCCTCCACAGGAGGATCCCTATCGAAACCTTCCACACAGTGATTCCTGTTGAAATCCTCCGAAGAAGGATTCGCAGTGACACCGTCCACAAAGGATTTTGATTGAAATCTACCGAGCGAAAGGATTCCCCCATTGGCATTGTATTGGGCACGGCGTTGGCATTGCGCTGGCATTGCGCTAGCGAGTCCTTGTGCCCCCGTTCGCACAACGATACCTATTGAAACCCTCCAGAAATATTGTCCCTTTTTCATCATCTACCACAAAAGGCTCCTCCCCATTGGCATTGCAATTGCATTGGATTGGGATCGCCTTGGCATTGGTTGGGCATTGCGATGGCACTTCTTCGGCATTGCGTTGGCATTGCGCTGGCGAGTCCTATGGCTCCCTCCGCAGAAGGACTCCTACTGAACCCCCCACACGAAGGATTCCGAGTGAATCCCTCCACAGGAGGATCCCTGTTGAAACCCTCCACAAGGGCATTTCTGTGGAAATCCTCCGAAGAAGGATTCGCAATGACACCGCCCACAAAGGATTCTTATTGAAATCCAACGAGCGAAAGGATTCCCCCATTCACATTGCATTGGCATTGGCATTGGTTGGCAAACGGATTGGTATCGCATCGACATGCATTGGCCTGGTGCAGGAGATAGACAGAGAGACACAACGAGGGAGAGAGAGAGAGAGAACACGAGATAGCGATATAACGAGAGAAGCATATAGGGGAGCACGGTGAATTACCCCAGTGCGACCCTACCTAGAAGTTGGAGACCCTAGGAAACCAGCATTCGTTGCTATGCTATGCTATGCTATGCTATGCCATGCTATGCCATGCTATGCTACGCTATGCTATGCTATCATATGCTATGATATGTTATCATATGCTGCGCTATGCTATGCTATGCTATGCTGCGCGGTGATATGCTGTGCTGTGCTGTGCTGCGCTATGGTATGCTATGCTATGCTATGCTGCGCTATGCTATGCTATGCTGGGCTTTGCTATGATATGCTGTGCTGCGCTGTGCTGTGCTACGCTCTGCGATGCTATGCTGTGCCCTGCTATGCTAAAGCTCAGCGAAGCTAAGATGAAGGTAAGCTAAGCTAAGATAAAACTGAGGTAAGATGAAGCTAAGCTAAGGTCAGATGAAATAAGCTAAGCTAAGATGAGATAAGCAACGCGAAGCTAAGGGAACGTCACTGGGGGAACCGCGGGGCGGATGCCGGGGGAACCGCCCTGGGCGCATTCCACTGCCCGGCCCTTTAAGCTTACCGAGTAAGAACCCTTCTAGGCAGCGCCTAAGTAAAAAAAGAAAAATGTCAAAACATCATCAAAGTTTAAAGATGAAGGAGCGTTCCACTAGATGAAAATCATATCAAAACGACGTGCGACTCCACAATACCCCGGCCTCTCATCCTCTCCCTCCCTACCCGTAGGTCGGGCATGTCCCCCTACAGGCGGACCTTGGACGAACAATAAAACATAGAATTCAAACACATGCCCAAAATAGTAGCAAAATCGTCCCCAGACTATTTTCGACAATTTTTTAATTTTTCCTCCTGTAGAGGGACAGGCACGACTTAACCCTATCCACCGTCCCCCGTAGCATTCTCTGGCTGCTCCTCATTATCTGAAGTCTCTTCCTCCCACAGCTCCCAGAGATACACATACTGGAAATAGGCCCAAAAAGCTCTTGCATGCCTCCGGTTTCTAAACGAGGGAAAAGGAGAATGCGCAACCGCTTAGGTCTCTGTAGTTGCGCGTCGGAGCATGAACATCCCGTGCTTTTTGCATGCAAGGGTCCTCTGTTTCGCCGACAGCACAAGGATCGTCGACATCCAAACGAGAGCATGGACATGCTGGCGCCCCTGCACTGCGCGTAGAAGAGACAAACGGCACGGACATCCTGTGTGAACATGTACGTTAATCAGCGTGGACCCTAAACAGTGACTCTAGCAATCGGTGTGATGGCGTAAGTGCGGTGCAATCTATGTGGTGCAAGCTACCAGGTACAATATATGTGGTGCGATCTATGTGGTGCATTCGATGTGGTGGAGTAAATGTGGTGCAATTGTTGTGATGCACTCAATGTGGTGCATTTCATTCGGTGGTGCAGTCTTGTGGCGACGAGGTGGCGACGGGGTGGGGACGGCGGCGAGATAGCCACCGCACCAAGTTTCAGGCCCAGACGACAGGCGGCGACGAGGCGGCGACGGGGCGGCGGCGACGGCGGCGACAGCCGCCACACCAAATTTCAGGCCCAGACGACGGGCGGCGACGAGGCGGAGACAGGGCGTCGACGGCGGCGACATAGACGCCGCACCAAGTTTCAGGCCCAGACGACGGGCGGCGACGAGGCGGCGACGGGGCGTTCCTTAGGGCAGAAGGAAGAAACCCTAAATGCAAGCACTGTCAGGGGAAAATACATATATATATATATATGTTCATATATATGTATATATATGTATATATTCATTTATATATATATATATGCAAATAGCTACATGTGCAGATACATTCATGTGTACTCGGACGGTTTAGCGGCGACCGAACCCATAAATTTAGTTCCACTTGCGCACGAAAATGGCACGTAATCGCGCACCTCCAATGCCAAGAAGGCAATGGGAGACAAGCGGTACCCCAGGTGACGAGCAACGCATCAATTCACTGAGCGACGACCCTTGCCTATCCAAGGGGTACGTCGTCCACTGCTGCACTGGATGAACATCCCCTCTCGAGAGGAAACATCTTCAACAGGCCGAGGAATGGAAACGCAACGTCCAACCTCCCACAACCAAGCTGGACTACTAGACGACGGCATTGATCTCATGGCGGGAGGCCGCGAGACGGAGACTCTCGAACTGGGCTGCGATAACCGTTCAATGTGACTTATCGCACAAGGCCGTGCCGTGCCTGCACACGAGGTTTTTTTCCGTGTAATCCGACACACACAACACAAACACAAATGTCCGCAAATTTCGGATGCAACAACTCGCCTAGAAACTATGAACAAACATGACTGGACCCATCCTGCTATCGATGAACAACGACACGATAAACTATCCGGCGTGAACCAAGACTGGACACCGCTGCGGCCGAACACCTGCACGGCGTACTCGTGCGCCGAGAAGTCTGAAAAGAAAATCTTCTTGACCTTCGCTTCAGAAGGTCAGACACAAACTCACGCAACACACATGCCATGAACATGCTGCCCGTCACAGGCTCCTTGCAGGCACGCTGAAACATCTGCGCCACACAAGTGGCCGCATGGGCAGGATCCACGGGAAGCGGGGTGAGGTGCTTGAAGCAGGCCCGTCGTGGGACGCTCAACGCCAATGTCTTTAAAATGCATCTCCAATCACAGTGCGCCGCCCGATGATGAAATATGTGCACGAGGAAACTTGTACTAAGCGAGCGGGGCAGCACCTAGGCCCGCCCTCCGACGTCATGTGTTGTTTGCGACACGTGGGCCCTAAACTTTATCACGCCCTCACCAAGGCAACAGCTTGATCGCGGATACATATGTGATGGTCCACGACGGGTCTCCAGAGGCCCGATCGAACTCTACAACAAATCTGGCAACATGTTCGATTTCTGGTTTTCCTGCTGGCACCTGGGGGTCTGGAAACATAACTTCTGCGTCTGGTATTGATCTGCCTGCACTGGCTGCGGAGTGTGCCAAGGACGTAGATGATACGAGATCTGCCCTGGCGCCTCAAAATGCACTCGCCAGGGAGCGTGCGGACAGTACCTCCTCCTCTCCATCTTGCTGCCAATGTCCTACAACTGACTCCCCTGCCATTCCTCATCATTCCGTTCCCCCTGCTCCTGCGCATCATCCATCGCCACCTTTGACCACCTGTCCTCATCCTCGGATCCCTGCTCCTCAGATCCCTCATCCTCCTCCCTCCTCCTTCTCCTCTTTCTCCTCCCTCCTCCGTTCCCATCCTCCTTCTCCTCCTCCTCCTCCTCCTCCTCCTCCTCCTCCTCCTCCTCCTCCTCCTCCTCCTCCTCCTCCTCCTCCTCCTCCTCCTCCTCCTCCTCCTCCTCCTCCTCCTCCTCCTCCTCCTCCCCCTCGTCCTCCGCCTTGCCCTCCTCATCCTCCTACTCCTCCTCCTCCCTCCTCCATCCGCTCCTCCTACTCACGTTCCAGCTCCTCCTCCTCCTCCTCCCGCCGCCGCCGCCCTCCTCGCCTCCGAGAAACTACCACTCCTCCTGGCCTCCCCCGCGGCTGTGCACAACGACAGCAACACCGAAAAAATCTGACCGAAGCGGCAGCGAAACGAAGACCTGCCAACACCGCAAGGCAAACAGGCAGCCCAGAAGTTTGGGTGACCCAAGAGGGGGTCCAGCTGAAAGTGGGTGGTGCTCTAGATTTGGGGCAATTGTGTTGCAAACGTACTGCGCCGGAGAATGTTGTTGCATTGTATTGCAAATAGTGTATTGCACGCGAAAATCCAGCGATACAATTTGCGCTCCGGAACGTATTGCACGCCCCCAACGTATTGCAACCCCACAACTCAATTGCACCGAATCTATTGCACCACCCCCTTGTCGCTGGACCCCCTCTTGGGTCAACCCGAAGAAGGGCGCAGCGACCCGGCAGCGACACAATGACCGACCCAACCCGAACCGATCGAACGCGACCGACTGAGACGCAGCCGAACCCACGGAACCGCGAACACGAGTCCACCGCATCCTCCCTCACCCCAAGGATCGACCCAAACGCTGTGATTCGTGCTCGTCTTGCTCTCGTCTTCCCTCGCTCTTTGGCTCCCGTTCGCCCCTGCTGCAGCACGAGACCGAAACGAACACGGCCCAGGAGATCGCCAAAGCACCGCTCGGGTCGACCCCTCCCTCACCCGGTCTGCGTGGCGCCTGGCAGCGCAATCAGTGCACACTCCCGGCGGCGAAGCCCTCTGGCGTCTTTTCGCGGATTTCCGAGGGCCGAGTTCCCTCGTCCCCTCAAGGGGAGGAGGAGGAGGAGGAGGAGGATGAGGAGGAGGAAGAGGAACTCTCCTCCTCCTCCTCCTCCTCCTCCTCCTCCTCCTCCCTCCACTCTTCTCCTCTGGAGCGGGGGCGCGCGCCCGGAAGGAACTGCTGGAGTTCGCGGCGACCAGCGCGGCGCCGAGCGCCCCCGCCTCCTCGCCGTTGAGGTGCTGCCTGCGCTCGCCGCGCCCCCCGCCCAGCGGGCGGACCCACCCCCACTGGTGGAGAGGCCAGAGGACCAAGGCTTCGAGGATCGAGCAAGATGAAAACGAGTTCTCATCTCCTCCTGCTCCTCTTTCTGCTCCTCCTTCCTCCATTCCTCCGTCCTCCATCCCTCCTCCTCCTCCTCCTCCTCCTCCTCCTCCTCCTCCTCGTTCTCCTCCTCATCGTTCTCCTCCTCCTCCTCCTCCTCCTCCCTAGAAGCCAGGAAAGGGTAGCAGAAAGCTCGAATCTCGAGCTTCTCGATCCGTGCCCTTTCGGACCTCTGGGGGGGTTCTCGTCGCCACAGCTGGCCAGAGCGCAACCCAGGAGTGGTCAGGACGGAACAAGCATGATGTGGAGACGATGGCGATAGAAGGGGGGGCGAAGTTTTGGGAGGCCTCCGGCGGTTGCTGGGTTTTTTTGGGCGGCGTCTCGGGGCTGCGATGGGGGTCCAAGAGGGGGCTCTGAAGGGGGAGGTCGTCGACCTCCTCCCCCTTCCAGTCCTTGACGAGACGGCCGCCAATGACAGGAGGGAGTGGTGCCACGCAGGCCTTTTGACCCCCATGCCGCCCTGGGACTGACGTCGTGGCCTTCTTGTTCTCTGCCACCGCCTCGCACCCCCAGGGGGCCCTGTGCGCCAGGCCAACCCACACCAAATTTCTATCGGCACTGTCTCTGAACGCCATACATATGGCGGCTGCCAGACACAAACAAACCAGCGCGTATCCACGTTGCTTGCGGGGTAGGCCCAAACCAACACAGTATTGCACTATAGATGTGGATGTGTAAGCCACGTGTCACAATATAGTTGAAAGAGTCTATGTGGCTCAAGCTGTGTGGTGCAAGCTGTGCTGTGCAAACGATATGGTGTATGCTACGTGGTGCACGCTACGCGGTGTGCAAGCTATGTGTAGGCTGCGCGTTGCAATCTGCGTGGTGCAAGCTGTGTGGTGCAAGGTGCGTGATGTAAACCATGCGGTGCACGCCATGTCGTGTAAGCTATGTGGCGCAAGCTGGATTGGAACATGTATGTACCTTAATCGCGCTGCGGAACTTGAATGTGAAAACTCCACTGCTCGCACAAGCACCCCAATCCTCCCATGTGGCCGCGATTCGGGTATCAGCTTGACACTGGCAAGCGCATCTCTGGGGCTGCGCTAGCGCACAAGCTCGCGCGCAGAGCGGCCAGCTGGTTTGGCACGACCGATGAGGCCGCGATGACATTTACCTATGGAAACTTCCCAGCACGTTTCAAAGGCGCGCGGGCACTTCAGTGCGGGTCGGTGACCCGGGCGGGTGCGGTATCATGATGACGTCGAGACTGGCGGCAACGCGGATGATAGTAGCGATGCTGGTGGCGGTGATGGCGATGACGATGATGTCCATGTTTCGGCGATGAATGAGATTGACTGATGACGACGGCAATGGCGGCTGTCGGCGACGACGATAACGGCGGTGATGCGGCGGCGCTGGTAATGCGGATGGTGGAGAATTGTGCGCGCGTGGGTGCGGGGAGCCTGGCAGCTCGTGCTGAAAAGTACGTGATGCTTAACCGCTGATATCTTGACGTCCTCCCACAACCAATGGGCTTGGACAGATTTGGATACGCGCGCGGGGCGGCGTGCGCGTGGGGCCCGCATGGCACCGAGTGGTTTGATACGGGTTCGCGCACTGGGCGCATCCAGGACAACGCAGACGCACCGCCAGGGGAGACAGGAGAGATGAGAATCCGAATTCTGGGCGAGATTGCCAACGGCAGATGGTTCCACAGCGATCTTCGCAAATCTGCGTGGCCAGAAAAAACAATATTTGTGATGCAATGCCAAAGGTGTCTTGATGCTCTGATATTAGAACGGTTGCATAACTAATGTGACTTGGCCGGACTTCGATCCGTACATTATCGTGCGGGCGTTGCGCTGTTTTTTTCTGCTAGAGGTTATCGTAAAATGATGCGTTGGAACAAACAAGAGCGCGCGCAATTTAGTGGACAAGAATGGGGGAGGGCCAATCCTGGTGGGCCTGGGACGGTATGATTTCAGATGGGGGAAGAACGATGGGGCAGAATCCCATGTGAATTGCGCCGTCCCCCTCCACTCTCTCCATCGTCATCGCATCCCTGCCTTGCCTCCTCCCTCTCGGATCTGTTCTTGCCTCCCTCCCTGCATGGTCCTCCTCGCCCCCCTCTATCTCCCGCAATCCTCCCGCCTCCATTCGTTCCGCTCTCAAAGTGTTCAGGAAACGGGGCGAGGAGAATAGGACGAGGGAGGGATAACCGAGATCTGATGGAAACGCAGGAGCAGACGCACTCGCACATGACCTCTCAGGCCAACTTTGGCCGTCTCGGGCCTTTGGGGGGCCGTGTTGGGGCGCCTTTGGGGCGTCTTCGGGCGCCTTCGAGTGTCGGGAGCTTGCAAAATCGAGAACCACTGCGGGCACTCTTGGGCGAAGGATCGGCGCGGGTGAAATAGTATTTCTTATGTGTGCACGCATGTGCACAGAAAGACGTAAACGGATACGCGATTGCGAATGCATGCGGCTGTGCAGTTGCATCCGTGTATGCAGCTGTAACCGCACGCGCGCACGAATAGTTAGTTTCGCAAGGGTTGCTGTGAACGAGTGTGTTGCATACAAACATACAATGTATGAGTGAACATGCAACTGTTCTTGTGACACATCACACATCGTACCACCAGCGACATCACGCCATTGGAAGCCATGAACATAGTAACATAAACAACAGCTTACAAACCAACACCTCGCCGCATATCTGTAAATATTCACATGTGCACAGATCTACACATGTCTATAAGTACTGTTACGCAAAATCCGTGTACGATATGCGTTTATAAACGAGTATACGCATTTGTATGTGAGAATATGTATATATAAATTTAAATATCATAGTGAGGGGGCGAACGGTCATTCACTGTACCTGGGTGCGTGACTTAGGTTATACCCCGCGGTGCAGATTGTTATTGTTGTTGTTATTGTTGTTTGTTTGTTTGTTTCATCGTTTGATTGTTCGTTCGTTTGGTTTTGCTTAATTCTTTATTTGTGCGGTTGCTCGTTTGGTTTTTGTTGTTGTTGCAATTGTTGTGTTTGGTGTTGTTGTTGTTGTTGTTGTTCTTGTTGTTGTGGTTGTTGTTGTTGTTATTAGGCGCCATCCCCCCCGCGACCCGGCCATCGACCCATCCCGCGACCCACCCCACGACCCGCCCCCGACCCACCTGCGACCCATTCGCGACCCAACACGCGACCCACCCGCGACCCACCCGCGACCCACCCCGCGACCCACCCGCGACCCACCCTCCGCGACCCACCTGCGACCCATCCACGACCAAGCCCGCGACCCAACCGCGACCCACCCGAGACCCACCTGCGACCCACCCGCGACCCACCCGCGACCCATCCCGCGACCCACCCACATTGCTTTGATGAAAACATCGGCGCATGCGGCGGTCAACTTGAAAAAATTAAGCGCCTGCGGCGGGCTTCTTCAGAGCCTCGCAGACTGCAGACGTCCCCGCCGCACCCTCACTCTTATCCGCGACTGCGGGGTGCTACGTATGCAAAGATGGGTGAATACGCGTGTTTGTAGATTATCTGGAGATTTCCCGGAGATGTTCGGGAGGTGTTCCGGAAACGCTCCTGAGATTTTTGCGAGGCGGGGATTTATCCATATCCACCGCCTGGGAACCGACGTCCTGGTGCCCAAGCGGGCGGTGAATATGGATATCTCTCGGCTCCCGGGGGCCCGAATATGTCCATATCCACCGCCTGCCGAGGCTCCGATAACTGACCCTCCAGGCGGTGGATATGGATAAATTCCCGCCTCGGAATTCCTGCAACGCAGGAATTTACCAGAGATTTCCGCGGGTATTTCTGAGAGCCTGGAGATTTCCTGGAAATTGTCCCAACGATTTCTTGAGCCGATTATTTTCTGGAGATTTTGATAATGGCCGACCTCGTTTGGAGATTTCTCCCGAGATTAGCAAACATTTTTTTTCGCCCAGAGGGCCCCGGTCGCGTTTGCCATGTTGACCCAATGTAAGTAAAAAAACGCATTAAACACGTAGCGAGAAGGGAAAGAAAACGAGCATGCGAGTCACGTGCCGATCCTGGACGCGAAAACATAACAGAACATGCGCCTAAAACGGTAAGGCCACGTCGATGTTGAACTGGCAAACGCGCCCCCAGCGTTTTCAAACTCATCGATTGGGCGCATGGATTAGGGATGAGTGGATCTCGCCTGTGGGTGCCAGATCCACGTATTGGGGAAGGGACCCCCGAAATATGAGGCCAAGGCCGCCCCATTTGGTGACGCATCACGCCGATGTTGTGGGGAACCGAGGCCCGCCGCTCAGGCAGGCATTTTCTTATTCCGGGTTTCGACGTGTGGCCGAATGGGAGGGGGAGGGGGGGGATCTGGGTCTGGGCCAGTGCTTCGTCGATCTGCTTTTACCGGTCGCGCCAGGAGAATGGGGAGAAAGATCCTGACCAATTGCCAAAAGCACCCGACAGAAGCAGCCGAACTCTGGTCCACGGGGGAGGGGGAAGGGGGGGGGCCGGGGACCCGCGCCTATCGGCGAAAAAATAAATCAAAAACGGCGACTACAGCAGGAGCTTGACCACAAGAAACCTTCCACACGAAACCCAACCCTGAGACCCCAGGGCGTCCATTGATTTTTGGCGTGGGAAGATCACGCTTTCCATAGCAAAGCCATCGAAACCCAAGAACACCACGGCACCCTTGAGGCAAGCCGGGTGTTTCTTGGCATGGGCTTCCACTAGAATCTTCGTGCCTCAATCCATGCTTACGTTTGCTTGAATCCTTGAAGGCTGGGGGGGGGGGGCCTTCTCGGAGGGGTCCCTCCTGTCAGCCTCTGAGGCTGCCCTCCTCGCCCGGCCAACCCCCCTCCGCTGCGCGCGCACAGAGAGGCCCCGCCGAGCGAAAGAGAGGGCCCTCCCCAAAGCTCGGCGACACCGAAGGGTGTGGTCTGCAAAGGTTGTGATTTGCAACCCGGCGTCCTGGGGGGGGGGCACCCCGAGGGGCGGACAGGGGCTCTCCGCCGCGCCCCGAGCGGCTCGACGAGGACGGCGTTGTGCCCCCCAGGCCCCAACGGCGCCGATCGCAAACAACACCTCGGCGTGACCATACCCTTTGGAGTTGCCGACCACAGCGAGCCCGAGTGGCAGCTTCTTCTCGCCGCTTTCAAGGTAGTCGGTGAGAATGCTCTGCACTTTTGGCACTCGCCAGGCTCCGCCAACGACCTGGCGCTCTCCAGGGCGGTGCAACATCACACCGAGACGACCACAGACTTGCCAACGGCACAGAACTCACCAAGCAATAGATGTAAAGGACACGGTGCAAACTGGCCGTGGCATGCACACGTGTGTACGTCCGAGGCGCAAGTGTGCACATGCAACACATATTTCCCAAAAGCCTATCGCACTGGCATGGGGTTAAGGTGTTCAAATATTATCCGATGTCGTTACCCGTCTGCAAAAATCATACGCGAATATTTGAACTGCGAGAGCTCATGCAGTAATGAGAGACCAGACGAGATGACTGATGATACAATGCGACACGCGAAACTTTGCATTGAGACAAGCAACAAAAACATGGCCAAACTGTACGCAAAACCAATGAGTCGGCTCCAGTCATACGCAAAACCATCAGTGTGCCCGTCGCAATATATATATATATATATATATATATATATATATATATATAGTATCCATGTTCCCAACTCGCGATGCTCTTGCTGCGCCACCTGAAAGCTCCTGCCCCGAAGTCAGGAAAGACCTCGACACCGTGTATATCTGCCAATGTAGCGTTGGCCATCTGAAGGGCCTCCGCAGAGGAAGCATTGCAGAACAAATGTGATGCATAAGGAATCACTGGAGATTAAATCGGAGCAGTGACCCGCGGAACCTGCATTGAACCGTACCGCGTGGGCGCTCATGAAGCACGGAAACCGAAACGAAGACTGCACCCCTGGGCGAAAACTTCTCTTGCTCCCGCTGGATTCCGCCAACCTCGGCAAGCGTCCTGTCGGGCATCTTCAGGCCCGGGCCAATCCAGACCCGGGTCAGTCAGGCCTTGCAGACTCCTGCAAGATCCTGCGCTCAAACCTGGGTCAACGCGAAAGATCATGCAGGATCCTGCGCCCAAGCCCGGGTCAGTGCGACCCTGGCCCCGCAGGATCCTGCAACATCGGGCGCCCTGGCCGACCCCCGCTTGCATCGGCCCCCGCCTCGAGGCTCCCGATCCTGCCTGCGCTGGCCTCCGCCGGCCCTCTGCCCCGCCCTCCGCGGCGGAAGCAGCAGCGTCCACTTGTCCAGACCCTCCCTCGGAGGTACGGCCCCCTCACGAGCGGCGCACGTGGTCCGACGGACGAGCGGCGAGCTGGCAGCGAGCCCGGGGGGGAGGTGAGAAGGGGCGTGCCTTCTCAGAAGGCTCGGAATGCACGGCACCCCCTGGGGCCGTAGGCGACCCGAGGAGGAGGAGGAGGAGGAGGAGGAGGAGGAGGAGGAGGAGGAGGAGGAGGGGGGAGGGGGAGAGGAGGAGGAGGGGAGGGGGAGGAGGGGTGGAGGAGGAGGGGAGGAGGAGGAGGAGGAGGAGGGAGGAGGAGGGAGGGAGGGAGGGAGGGAGGGAGGGAGGGGGAGGGAGGGAGGGAGGGAGGGAGGGAGGGAGGAGGAGGAGGAGGAGGAGGAGGAGGAGGAGGAGGAGGACGGGCCGCCTAAACCCTTCGGAGAAACCCTCCAGCTTGGAAGTCCCCTTTCCCGAAGACGCAGAAAGCAGGAGGGCTTCTGAGAAGCCCCGCCGCCTTCGCAAGACGGCCTTCTCCTTCTCACTTGCCCCCCTCGCCCGGCGCCGAGTGAGGAGCAGGGAGGCATCACTCGAGTGCGCTGTCCGATGCCCCATCAACTTCGCTCGGGCGAGTTGCGGGCGCGACGCGCCCTCCCGAACGACCGCCTGCCTCGTGCCCGATCCTCGGAACACCCGAGCCCTCACCTCGCACCTCGAGAACTCGGTCTGTCGATCGGCTGGGCAAGGCTTTTGTGCAAAGGCGGGCTCCAAATAAGGTGTTCGAGACAGGGTGTTGAGCAGGGACCGACCGTCCCGGCATTCCTTTAGGCCTACCACGAAAGGTTCTTAGAACCCAAACATGTTTTGAGAGCAACAAATGTTCTTATAGCATAAAGCCGATGTGTTCAAGCAAGACATACTCAGCCAGAAATGTTATGAGAACATTTCGTGCAAACCACAGGAGGTTCTCAGCACATTCTTTGGTGGGCTATAGGCGAGCCAGGACGCTTCGCCACTACTTGAAGGGTGGACGAGAGGACGGGTCAGCGAGAGGGCCGGCAGAAATGCATGCCACCGGTCTCTCTCGTGCCCGAGGGCGCCACGAACGGGAGCGACCACGACCGCAATGAGCTGCAGGCAAGGGATGTCGTGCCGCCCCCCCTGCTCACACACGTTTCGCCCTCCCCGGTCGAGCGACATGCAATAATCCGCCGACCCCTTGTGGGTCTCTAGGCGTGTGAGATAGTCCCCCCCCCCATAATCCCCCCCCCAGGGACCCCAAACCGGAGATTTGACCCCCCCCCCCGGGCCCAGTACGAGCGCGTCACGGGGCTCTTTTGGGCCCAAAAGGGGATCAAGACGGGCCCAGAAGGCTCCAAGAGGCCTCCAAGACGGCCCACGAGGGCCCCGAGACGCCAAACGAGCGCTCCCAGACGCCCAAGATGGCCCCAAGACGAGCCTAGAGGCCTCCAAGACGGCCCAAGAGGTCCCCACGAGGCCCCAAGAGGCCTCCAAGATGCGTCCCAAGAGGGTCCCTAGACGCAAAAATTGGCCCATTCCCTTCGTAAAACGTATGATTTTCACAAATTCGCTTTCTGGGCTTTCCGACGCTCCAAGACGGCCCAAGAGGCCCCGAAGACCGCCCCAAGACGGCCCAAGAAACCTCCAAGAGGGTCCCAAGATAGCCCAAGAGGGCCCCAAGACGGCCCAACAAGCGTCCAAGACGGCCCAACAGGGCCCCGAAAAGGGCCCCAAGAGCGCTCCAGGAGCGCCCCAAGTGGCCTCCAAGAGAGCTCAATATGGTCCCAGACAGCCCAAGAGCGATCAAAGACACCGAAGATGGCCTCCTGACGGCCCAAGATGCCCCCAAGAGGCCCCAAGAGGCATCCAAGATGCGTCCCAAGAGGGCCTCTAGACGCAAAAATTAGCCCGCTCCCTTCGTAAAGCGTGCGTTTTTCACAAATTCGCCTTTCGGGCTTTCCGACGCTCCCAGACGGCCCAAGAGGCCCCCAAGACCGCCCCAAGACGGCCCAAGAAGCCTCCAAGAGGGCCCCAAGACAGCCCAAGAAGGCGCTAAGACGGCTCAAGCGGCGCCGAAGACGGCCCAAGAGAGCCCCGATGACGGCCCCAAGAGCGCTCCAAGTGGCTTCCAAGAGAGCTCAACATGGTCCCACACGGTCCAAGAGCGATCGAAGACACCCGAAATGGCCTCCAGATGGCCCAACACGCCCCTGAGAGGCCCCCAAGATGCGTCCCGAGACGGTCCCTGGACGCAGACATGTACGCATTCCCGTCGTGAAACGTACAATGTTCACACATCCGCCTTCTGGGCTTTCCGACGCTCCTAGACGGCCCAAGAGGCACCGAAAACCGCCCCAAGACGGCCCAAGAGGCCCCCAAGACGGCCCCGCGACGGTCCAATATGGCCCCAAGACGGCCCAA